CTTTCCGATTAAATACTAATTCCTCTCTTATTCAAGTCAACCAAACAAAAAAATATCAAATATTAATCGAGATATGACATTTATCATTTGCTGTCATTATTGGCGACGCCGGTGAACGGCGTCGTCTCTTATGGAATGCTTTTTATTTTTGCCTATGGAAGGAGCTGTTATTATAAGCAGTTAATGTCATGTTGTGTTAATTAGTTTTATTTTGATTAGTAAAAATCAAGTAAAAAAAATATGTTGTTATATTTGTATTTAATAACTTTATGTAAAAAGCATGTGCATTGTGGTATTATTTTCACAAAATTGCAGGCTCAGTTTAACAGCTTGTCCCTTAGCTTTATTGGCAATACTAAAACCCGGATTTCGAATATCGTTGTGGTCTACATTGATGCCGTATTTTTTTCATTCATTTATATTTTTTCAAAAGTTTCTTACAAGATGAACGTTAACCTGCAAATAAGTATTAAGATTGATAATGGAACTGTTGTAAACGATTATCCTATTGATTTTATCCATATTACGTTTATCTATTGCACAGAATGATTGTTTTTTACAAAGTGTACCAGTATCCGGATGTTGAAAGCTATCCGACTTTCTGCAATTACTGCTGTCACATGGCCATCTAACTTTTTATGAATACTTTACCATTAATTTGCATGGCTTAATAAAACTGAGCTTGCAACATTTCATAATTTTGCTGTTTAGTGTGTTCTTTTGGGTTTCAGGTTTTCTCTATTTTAAGGGGAAGTAACTCATGTTTACTAAATTATTTGTTCTTTTTATGTCTTAGGTATTATTTACTATTTTTGTTGTATAAAATTTACCAGTTGTAAGGTCATCAAAGGCCCAGGGCAGTGAATATTAATAGATTTTTTACTGGCTTTATATAACGTATAGACTGGATTTTTCTAGTTTGTTCAGTTAGTACATACCTACAGGTATTCTGCTACAGGAATCTTCTGATCACTATGTGAAACTAATTATTATTTTCTATGTGTTTGTATATAAACTGTTAATAAAATAACTATTGGTAAAAATGAAAGTTGGAAAATTAAAGCTATACATATAGGTGCTCATGTCCATATATTGCAACAGAGAGGATAACATCCTGAAGTTATCAATTTTAAACACTTGATATACAATGTATATGCAGTTAGTTCTATAGAAAAGGCTAATGGAACAATATTTGTTACTGTAAGAGATATGCAATTAATGTTTAGACACTGCACCAACTCAATCTTTATTATATGATATAGACTATTTGAGATTTTTTTTTTACTTTTATACTATACATTATATCTTAGCCTAGGTGTTGTGGTTTATCTTCTGAACTTGTGAGAATTTGGCTGGTTAAATAATGACCTATCCGGATTTGAGGGTTAATTAGTGAACCATTACTAGTGATGGCAAAGGGGTTTTCCTGGTGGCAATTCTAAGCCGAACAGTTGCATGGCAATTAAATAGATATATATTCCACACTCTTTGTGCTAGTAGGTCAGTTACTGGCCTTTAAGGAAAGAAAATGTCCTTAAATTTTTGGATCAAGGCAAAATATAGATTCATAAAGTCTTCAAAAAATATATTCTGAATTGGGTTATTCAATTTTTTTTCTAAATGTGCATAGTTTGAAAAGGACAGCTTCTGTTTATCTATTTTGTAATGGAGGGACACCCCAGTCTCAACCTCCAGGTCTCCAGAGTCAACCCAACTACAGACTTTTCATTTTAGAGTAGATGTTAGCTTGCACTTGAATAAGTCTGTGCCACTAAATTTTTATAGTGGGTTGATTTGTGCCACATGAAAACCAACAAAGTACAAAAAGTAACCGGGCGCCAGATGAAAACATGAAAATAAAATCTACCACAAAGTGGTTCATTTGTTGTATTTTCAAGTTTTCGCCTGGTGCCCCCTGATGCAAAATACAAATCAGCCTCCATAAAATTTCTTATCAAAGAAAAAAGGTTAGTTTTTTATCTACAAAAAATAGATATTGTACATGTATTAGAACAATACTTGTATTATTACAGATGTTCACTTTCAAATTGACCTGTTATAAATAATGGCACAACCAATAAATGTATAAGCCGTTTTTCAGTAAAAATAATTATACAATATATAATTTGTTATTTTGATTAAGACTATGAGTATGTAAGTTTTTTCTTATTTGTTTAATTAAGAATTTATCTACATGTTAATTAAAAAATCTAAAAGTCAAGCTGAAAGTTTTACTCATTCTGTGACTGCATATAACCCTGAGTTTAATTCTTTATGCTCTGTAAACTACCTGTTAATTAAAAAATCTAAAAGTATCTGTCATGGTTAAGAACTGTTCACTATTTAGGGGAGAAAATGTGTAAGCGGCCAGATAGCTCAATCGCTACAGCCGCGGTACATTATTCTGTGGGTCACAGATTCGAGTTCAGGTCAAGCTGAAAGTTTTTCTAATTCATTCTGTGACTGCATATAACCCTGCGTTTAATTCTTTATGCTCTGTAAACATCAGGAATTCAAGGACACAAATCAATATAGTGGAGAAAGATGTTGTGGTTTAGAAACTGTTAAATATATTAAAGAGAAAATGTGTAGCCGGCGGATGGCTCAGTTTGATCTTCTGACAGTCATAGGGTTCGAGTCATGGTCAATCAGTTTCAGTCAGGGTTTAGAAGTCTGCAAGCCTAAACATAAGCTTTTAATTATTATGCTGATGACTCAGGTATCTTGTATCTGGTAAAAATATAATCGGAAGAAATTTCTCTCTTATTAGTAGATTTGTTTATTGACAAAAAATTGTCTTTGGGCATCTTGGCAAGACAGGGTCTAATCCTTTTTGGTTTAAGTTTCAACTTAACTGGGCCTAGCCTCAGGTCAGCACATGTAATGGTTACTGCTATAAAAGTACAACATCTTTTGTTAAGTATTTAGGTGCAAAAGTTGATCAAATTTGTTTGGCGTCGCCTTTGATGCTTTGCATCAATGCTTTTCTTGTTAATTCTTTTGTATTTTCCCAACCAATGATATTAAATAAAGCGCAGAAAACGAAGGCAGTTTTGACAGAATAGCTTGTTTCTCTTTGACTCATTTGTTTCTGTAATTACAATTTGCAGTTTGTTTGATTCTTGGTTTATTAAAAATGTCTTCTATATTGACTAAGATGTTTCTGTGAATGACAGTGTTCCTTACACAATATATAAGTTTTCTATCTTCCTCTTCATTTATGTCGGAAATTTATATCCAAACTTTTTGTTTATTTCAACTTCCAATGAAAATTAAAATTATAAGGTTGTAGGCCGGCAAATGTGAATAATTGACGGATGACAGTTTGTGGTAGGTAAAGAATTACCTGAAAATCTTTCATTCATGAAGTTTTTTTTTCAACATATTCAAAGTTTACAAATGTTATCATTCATTCCCACTTTGTTTAAGGTAGATATTGAAGCAATTTTTTATAAATTTTTAAAAAGATTTATTTTGGGATACATATCCCTTTAGTGTTTTTTTGTTTAAAAAATTTTATTTTTGGGGTTAAAAATTTTTTTTTTAGAAAACGACTTATTTTTTTGCATATCTTATAAACCCAAGCGTTTTGAGCCCGAAAATGGCAAATAAATTTGTGAAAATATTACTTATTTTTTGGGGTTAAGAAATTGTGCCCTTTTAGGATAATTTTTAAAAACGGTCGATCATGTGCACCATGATTTACCCAAAATTAGACCCCAAAACATAAAAAAAGTGAATGGAAAAGGGAAACCCAAAAAAAGGAAATAATTGTAAAAAAATCCCAAGCTTTTGACACATTCATTTTTTTTTATTTTTCAAAATGCCCTTTGTTCATAAACTTTTATATTAAATTTAATAACATTCAATCTAGACTATAGGTTGACTTATCTATAAATAAATCTGTTTTATTATTATATTGTTGTATGTTTTCTTTGCTTAATTGTTTATTAAACAAAGCTGCAAAAATCATTTCTTAGATCAATTAGTAGAATTCGAATATCTAATAATGCGTTAGATCCTTCGTCACTATTGATCCGAGATCCCATATTTTATATACATTATTTCATTTATTCTTTTTTTCTACTAGGAAATAAATAATATAATTCATCAATTGAAAATGTTTTTGTATTTTGCTTTGAATCTAAAAACAACATAAGTACCATAGGAAGGAATTATATAAATCTGTTGTCTTGACTTATTCTTTGTTTAATTCTTAAACATAAGGCCTTGTACATAAACATTTTACAAGACATGCTGAGTGATATAAACATTTCTTAGTCTTTGATGAATGTCAAAACGTTCTGTTTTGTTAAAGGTACTACTGAACCTTTTGGCATACATCAAAGGCGCAGAAATTAACGTTTATATCACTAAACGTGTTTTGTAAAATGTTTTAAGATATACAAAGCTTAATGTTTAAGAATTAAAGACGAATGAATTATTCCACTCATCATGCCAAGTAAACGATTTAAACATTGATCAACGGTCATGCTAGTCACAAGAATAAGTAAAACGTCACATGATTTGATTAAGACCCACAATCAATGGTTTGCCACTTAACATGCCAACTGAAACGTTTTGATATTGATTTGGATAGAGACATTTATGATTATCATTCAAAAAGAGAACAAATCGTTTGGACAATTATTCAAAACGCAAACCTTAATGAGTATATAAACTAAAATAGTGTGTGCAATATATGATAGTACATGATGTATTGATAGCTTTCGTTATTAGTTTAGGAAAAGTAATAAGCAATTAATTAACCTCATTTATACTGCCAAACATGATTAGAATCGGTGCCTTTGCACCAAATATTTGTTTATGCTAGCAATAAAATGCTATTGAGCTGAAAACATGTTCCAAATTAAAAAATGTCATGAACTTTATATACTTTTCTACAGTATCAAATACTATTTTACTCCTTGTAAATGAGTACAAACTAGTCGCATTCAGCCATAAATGAAAATAATAATAAAAATAATGATAATAATAATAATAATAATACTAAAAAATGCATTAAGCGCAATAAATGATAATATATTTAATTCAAGATTATTTAAAGTTAATCATTCAAGAAGTTAATTGACATCATACATATTGCAAAGCCCGCTTAGGATTGTTGTCGTTACACTAGACATTAATCTAGCCTAGCAACAACATGGAATTGGGCTGACAAAATATCCAAAATTAAGACACTGGCAAAACTATATACTCTTAAATATCTTTATTCACACCTTGTACTGTTTATCCAAAATCCTTGTTTTTGCAAGAAGTGTTTCTTTTTCATAGTCTGTATTTTTTCAATACATTCGATAAATCTAGTTTTATATTTTATAAATTTATATCGTTTTACAAGTAGATTATAACTATAATTTGAGATGGCTTGTATATGCCCCTCGTAGTTACCAGCACCTGTAGTTTGATTTACATGTGCTGTCAATTACGAGGGTTGTTCAAAAAGTAACAGGACTGGAGCTCTACTGTACACATTGTTTAATTTACATGCATAATTTTACAAGAAACAAACATCGGAATGTTCTCTGTATACAGTGAAATACAGCTTGCCGAGCTCTTTTGCCAATATCAGCCGAGCCTGATAAAATTGATATCAACATACAGTAGTATAGATTTATAGAATCAAGCTTTCAGTGACCGCAAATACAAAAGTATTCCAGTAAATCATATGTATTAATATTAAAAGGAATGAAAATCCCCTGTTTCTTCCTTTCCATGGCTCTATAGTCATTCTTTAAAATATTGTTTATACTTAAACACACATCGGATCTCAACAACATAAAACAGTGTTCGATACAAGTTAAAGGCACACAACTCCTTAACTCTTAAAAGTAGTAAGAATATAACCATTTCCTCAGTATTCTTGTTTGTTTTCATAAAAGGTCCCAAATGTTTACGAAGCTTCTTGGACAGTTTGAAAATGAAATAATAACTGAAGAAAAATAACGACAAATTAAGGACACGGGCAGATGTCAAAGGACAAATAATGACCATGAAAACATATTAGAACCATGCAATGAAAATAGCTATATCGACAAAAACAGTTTTAAACAAAGCTTTTCAAATCTTTAAACAAAATGACCTTTAGAATAGTATATCCACTCGCAATCATATGTTATAAAAATCTGAGATCAATTTTCGATATGGGTATGTCACACTTTAATCAAAAATTAATTTTATCCTGTCAATCTAATTTATTCCCAAAGCCTCGTCATTTCCTCATTTCACTGAATAAATAAAGTGCCGACTATCTTTAAACAGTTTTATGGATGTATGTCAGTACTTGCCTTTTTTACAGGAAATTCCAAGAACAATGTGTATTAAACCACTTAGTACGCCTAATTGTGTCTAGAAATTCAAAGCACAAAATTGTAAACAAAATTAAGATGCAATTAAAGCTGTGTTGTATAGTTCGGTCCAATAATTAAGTACATTCAATATTCATTCAAAATCGTACTGTATTGATATAACTTTGCAAAAGCTCTACATCTTCAGTTAAAAGATGTAGTTTATGTTCATAAAATGGTAAACTAAGTCTTTAATTTCATATAATATTGTTGTTTGTATGTTTTCAGATGGTCACTCCTATTTCCTTTATAAAAAAATGTGTCCATTGCTTTGATTTATTTAACAAATCCTACCGTTTTGTCCACTATCGCAAAATATATTTTTAATTGACTGTTCTGGACCATTATCTTTTGCAAACCCTTATCTATCAGTTCATATTTGTTGTTGTATTTAGAGTAGCGTTTGTTTTCAAGAAATTCCATATTTGGTGTAAACTGAATTAAAATGAATTTTCGTACGATATTCATATTTTGAAGGTTGTTTTTGTTAACTCCAACTTTCTTATTTCAATGTCTTTATCTTAAGACTAAGTGGGAATAAATTCACTGTACCAACCTTACATTGTTAGTCTGTTCAAAGATTGCAACTGCAACTATTCGAAAGCTACAAAAAATGCATGTTTGTATAATAATATATTATATTTTTTTTTGCATTTTTCTAACTTTTTCAACCGACATCGACACATATTCTTTTATAGAAACATTTGACATTAATACATGTATTACAAAACATGTATTACATTGAAATTCACATACCATTAAATGAATATGCCTTTAATATGATTATCAACTAACATGAGCCTCTAATTATTATTCATATTCAGGTCTTTTGTCTACTGATGATACTTCACAGAACCCAGATAAAGATGAAAAACTTGATTTGATGCGGTACAAATACTATAATTGTCAATGATAACTAAGTTAATACTGACGTGTACCATCGTTCACATATATAATTCGTTGCTTACTTTATAGCAAGGATGCAAAGTCAATAGATTACATGTGTAAACAGTTATTTCAGGTGTTTTTAAAATATCTTATCTTATCCTCACGTTGTCTTTGTAGATTTTATATAATACTCCTTCTGCTTTTATAAGTTGCATTCACTATGTGTTGATAAGATTTTCCTTTTCCTGACATATATAATCTATGCAAAAGCACATACAAACTAACAGATGCATATACTATTTTTTTTTGTTAAATTCACCGTTTGATCATTGGAAATCATTAATCAAACCCCATGTCTACCTGAAGAAGCTCATTTAACTTCTTATTGTGTGCTTTGTAAAAGTTAGATAAAAGTTCTTTAGTGTCTGGCAACAACTGACCATGTAGAGCGTACTGTTTTGTGTTAACCTTTTTTCATACCAAGAGCCAAAATTGCTGTTATTATTTCCTCCGTCGAATTTTCTGTAAAATGCAAAGATAGTAATGGTATTATCTTTCTTCATTTTGTTTTTTGCTGCTGCTGCTGCTGCTGTTGCTTTAATATCCAAATTTCAGTGAAAATTGAAAACAATTTATCTCTGATAAAAAGTTTTTAAGTTTAATCTTTAATTTTCCTCATACTTGCAATTAATAATATTGAAAAATTCGTTCTACGTACCGATTTCTAAAAACCTAAAGACATCTGCAACAACAGCTTGCATATTCGTAGAAAAGTTTTCTGTTTTTACGATATGCACTTGATCTCGTGGAAAGACACGAAAGTAATCTTCTACGTACACGTGGTATATTGAAACTTCAAGCCTTACTCCCTTGACAAAAAATGCATGATGTAAGACATTGAACAATCGTTTTTATTTATTAAACATACATGTATATCACCGGTCAATATTCAAAATTCTAAAAAAAGCTAATATTGTGTTGTATACACAATCACCTATTTTGAGAAGATGTGTGTGCAAAAACAATATAACATTATATTTCAATCTATGGTACTAAAGCATATAACTTACCTCGCTGACATAAAAATATGAGCAGTATCGGAGGCAATGCCTCTTTAAACAATACCAATGTGTCTGTATGGCGGCTTTGATCTTTGCGTGAAAATCACTAGCACTTTTTGTCTTCCCATTCCCAAAATGTAAGTACTCTGAATAAATTCTGAAACATAGAAATCTATTTTCCTACAACGTAAATGTTGTCTTTTACTATTAAATTGTTATCGTTTTTAGTTAAGGTTTTGTTATGTGGTTGTTATTTATTTAAATATATTATAAAAATGTTACTTCATTTGTTCTCGCACAATCCTGCACTTGTAGATTATATAAATTTAAAAAGATGAACCTTTTCACTGGATTCCTTAACAAGAATATGATCTTTGAGTTTGGGTTCAAATTATATATGACATTCGCAAGAGTAAACTGTGGGTTTGATCCCTTCTGACCAGTCAAATTTATTAACAATTTTGTGTTGTCCCAATACTAAAATCACCTTAAATATGACAAAATACACTGGAAAGAAACGGTTTAGTCAATTTAAATTTCTTTACTGAATAACAATCTTAATTCAAATAATTTATATGAAACCAATCAAAAATGCTACCATAACGTATTCATGTTTCTCACTGTTCATTTCAAAATGGGTTTTACAGTATAAAGAAGATTGTAAATGAAACACGTTGACTTTTAGATCACATGTCCGTCAGCCTACTGTATTTTTTTCGGAGAACTGCATTATGTTATAAAAGGGAATATCTAACTTACACAAACTGACGAAAATATATAGTGCAAACTTAGATGACACTAAAGACCAGACATAAACAGCGTTTCGAGAGACATTGTATAATAGATGCACAGTTTTCCACCAATATTCTTCAACCTAGCTAATGAGGTGAGACATTTTATATTGAATTGGAATACTGTGTACATTATATTTAGCCAATCCGAATCCTATAATGCTATTTATAGTTCCACAATAAAAACAAAATTATATGTCTCTAATGTTTCCACTAGAGAAATGAATCATCTTCTTTTTAATTTTGAAAAACATTCTTCATCGTGGGTTCGAATTCTATCAGCGACTTTTGACTATTTCATGTATGGAGAATATCAACATAGAAAAATGCAAAGTCCGTAGTTCCTCTCTCATGTGTCCGCTAGTGCCTTAAATAATTCCCGAAGGGCACACGAGGTTTTTATCTGCAAATAAAGATGCAAATTCGTCATATGACCTCTTAAGTATCGGTGTGACCATGATAACACATTTACGGATGCTTCTTGTATTAACTGTCATTGTCATGTTTGAATGTTGGATTCTGTATACGCTGGAGCATAGGGGCGTGGACGGTAGCTTGCATTTTCCAGTACTTTCCATAACAGGCTCATTCGTTTTAGGCATTCTTAGGGATTTTTTTATTATTCAAAACCAAAAACAGACACATGTATTTGACTTATTATGAAACAAACCAAAGTCTTATTTGTTCCTAAGGTACTAGTATATTGTAGAAGAAATATCTAAATATCAAATTAAAACAAACTTGTATTTACTAGATGTCGTTACCGTTAATGTTAAACCGTCTCCTCGAAAACCAATGTGTTTCCTTTTTAGATTTATTAGAAATTGATGGGTGATAGGTAATTCTACTTAAAAAGTCTGTTGTACCGCATTTTGGCATTCCTATCAGATAGAAATACGGTAAACATCTCACCCGCGTGGCCGAATCGAACGTATTGCTTTCGATCCAGCAAGGGCATTTGAATTCTTTAAGTAAAGGCGGAAGTTTCTGCAAACAAAATACAAATTTAATATATAACACACTTTAAGCTTTGTAATGGTTTTTTTCTTCAAATGTTAATACTCTATTCAACAGAATAGATAAAATTGGTTGACAAAGGGTCATCATGATTATTCTTTAGCAAATGAATGGTTAATACAACGAGAAAGGTATATTAATACGTAAAGACTCTATTTAGTTTCTTCTAAGTCATCTACCTTTGATGATGAAAAGAAAACTTTAAAATTACCCAATTGTTGGTTGAATATTACATTTCTTATTCTTTCAAAATATTGCCTGAAAAGCTCGTCTTCAAATACGATATAAATAAAAACACCTCAATAAGATTTCAGAATCTATAGTTATGATTCCTTTCATTAATTTCTAAAACAAGTGGATTATAGAAGATAAGTGTTGACTTACAGGAGGACAAAAGTATGTCTTTCCCAGAGATGTAAAGAATAATGTTATTATTTTATAAGAACAATAAAGTTTCCGAACTTACTGTTTTTCTTGTATATCGTCTACTCGATTGCTTTGACCTACTTGAGTTTGGTTACGGTCATCTCTCGGCTTTTCATCGGTAACATGTACTTTGAAGCTTTTAAAATGTATTCCTAAATTAAGTACATAATTTTATTTCAAATCATTAACATCTTCTCAAATTGTAATTTCTTATTACACAAACGTTCTTGATATAACAAAAAAAGAGTATTCATAACGTATTAAAAGATTTAAGCCATTATATTAAAAATGTGATTAGGAGAAGAAGTTAATTAAGAGAGTAAAATTAATATAATAACATTGAAACATTCAATGAATATCAAATAGGAAACCTAAAAATGTTGCAGGCTATGATTGATTTTGTCGAATTTTCATGGAATGCAGAATTCAATATTTGAGTACAATATGCAAAATCAGCTTCCGCGTATAAGGTACAAGCGTCAACAACAAAAAAACAACAACAAGATAATTGAGAGTAAAACAAGTTAGAGCATACACTTAACGATAATGATAAAAGTTTAAAGCTTTACACCATAGGGAAAAATTGAATACTTTAAAACCACAAGGGAAGAACTGAATAATATGGTACAATTGTTAAGGTTGTTCGGTCTACAATAGGCATAATATCCGTAGAATTTTAAAATACTGATAGTCTTAAAAGATGCAATTGTATCATTTTGGTATTTTCTTAAAATATTTCCTAAATAATTGGAAATGTTGATAGAGATTATTGTGATTTAGTATGAACATTTGTTTGATGAATAATACTAATAATACTATTCTGCTATAGAACAATTAATCTTATTAACTGATATGTAAAGGTACGTCATATGGGATCATTTATATCGTACCACTAACAACATCCATATACGTTTTGTCACCTAAAACTTTCAACATATAATGTATGGTATAACAGATGTTACATAATGGGCCAATTCATTTTAAGGCAATTTACGACTACATTTTGACCTTTCGAAGAATGTGCCAAAATGTTTTTTATAATAATGTTTCAAACATTGATTTATATCTTGTCAGATATTTAGCACCTGAAGGAAGATACAGTGAATGTCAAATGATTCGTTATAGAAGTTACAAAAAGAATTTTAAAAAATGGTATTTTGACTTCCAAACAAAATCACCATAAATGCAATATAGTAAGACTGAGGGGTTTACAACCAATGTCCAACCAATGATACAACCAACTGTTGGAAACAATAACTGGACAGAATGTCTATAAGAATAAAGTTTTTAAAGCATTTATGTAGCTTAATGGAGTGTTAAACATTAAAGTTTATTACCCCTCACTTTTTTCGTAATGCTAATTTCCCATAGCCCTCTGGGAGTTATTTTTACTGTTAATGCAAGTGTACCACGTGACTAAGAATTTTGTACTGTTACATAGGTAACAGTATTTTTTAACGGGTCACGTGGTCTATTTCCTACATAAAATGAAATAAAATGGCCGCCATTTTTTTCTCTATTCATTCTTATTTTCGACTTTAAACCCCGATAGGACATCAATTTCTCCTCGGGAGTCATTATGACACTCATAAAATTTAGTTGTGTGCACCCTGGTGTGCTTTTCGCGTATAAAATACCTTTTGGTTGAATAGTCAAAAAGTGAACATCCGTTTTCAACGGAAGCAATTGCAATGTAAATAATTATGTGTCAAACTGGAACATGCAGACGATTTAAACATGCAACAAAGGATTATTTAACAAATTTAATCAGTGAAACGATACATATATGGTAGACTTAGGATATCATCGTTATTTTGTCAAAAACCGTGCTAAGAATAATCTCGAAACAGAAGGATAAGATTTCACAGATCATAACCATGTAAATGGGTTAGTGTTTTGTTTCCTAAATAAAACCTAGCTTATTGTATGTTTATGATTTGTAGATATCATCACTTGCTTAAAGAATAAAAGAAAAAGAAAACTTCTCAAGTAGGCCTACAGTAAAGTACACTTAAAACTTAAAAGGTAAGGACAGTTTAGTTATTGTTACTCTTGGTTTATTTTTGTTACAGTTAGATTTAGTTGACAATTTCAGATCATCTCAGTATTTTTGTTCGGGGTAATAAAATAAATAACACATGGGTTTGTGAGTAACAGTAAAAATATCATCCCTCGTAAAAATACTGTTACCCTCGGCTACACCTCGGGTAACAGTATTTTCCTCGGGATGATATTTTTACTGTTACCCACAAACTCATGTGTTATTGATATAATAACAGTTTAGCTATAACTCTACACATGACAGTGCTGCTTAATTTTGAATGCACTTTGCTCGAAGTACCACTTTGTGAAAATACGGCTTCGGGTAATTAACTGTTTGAAAATGTATTATGATTGTACGGATCGATATAATTATATTTGTGATGCATTCTCAAATTCACTTCAGAAATAAAAAATGCAAAAGTATTTCACTTACCAAACTTTGCAATGAATGTGCATAAAAACACAAATGCTAGCAGTATCAATTTAAATACCCAAGACGAACATATTTTATGAAAATCCATAACCGATTAAAAGATTCTAGGCCGTTGACCGTTCGCTTGGAATATATCAGATTTATTTTTCTAAATTCCACAAAGCATCATTAGACATAAAAACCACATAAACATATGCATTTAAACCTGAAATAATTATCAAAGATAAAATGAACATCGCCTTAAATAATTTGTCACTTGCATAAATGGCGCGGCCAAGACAAAGAAACACGACTTATCCCATTTAATTAGGTCCATAAAGTTCCAATTCGGCAAATATTTACGACTACTTGTAAATATCTATTTAACACATGACCGTTTTCGCATTAGATATACTTTCATTGTAATAAAAAGATCTAGCAGAACATGCTCGCACAAACCTATCGTATGAAATTTTAAAAGTTAAAGGCACCTATTAGTGCATTTTATTGATTTATTATCCTTAAAGTGATTTCTAAAAAGGACTCGACTAACACTTTATTGCTTAAATACAGAGGATTTGACCCAGTCGTTGGCTTTTTTTATCGAGGCAGTCATAAATACACGATTACACGACACATATATCCACTACCTAACTGTCATCTGAATTGTCCAAATAGTTTTTTTTCCGAGACTTCTAGTCATTTTTCTCTCATATAAGGTAAAGAAACAAATATAAGATTTCAGGAATCCAACTATAAAAATATCATGTTCGTAACAGTAACTGTACTGTGAAAATAACGACAACTTTATGTTACGTTATTTATTGTCTGTTTTTTATTGTACTTTATATGTCAATGCGGATTTTATCTACATTGTATTTATGTTTTAATTCGTTCGTCAGTTCAAACACCTATATGCAGTTTTAGGTATAATACAGTAGAACGATTAAAGAACAGTATATCTATTTTGTGTCATGAATAACGAACAAAGGACCTATATGTCACAAGGGAACAACAAAAAA